CTAGGTTAGGACAAGGTTAAGTATGCACCAAACGCGCACCCGGTAACAAGTGTAAACTCACTTCAACTGCTCATGCTACTGAATGAGATGTAACGTCACATCCTTGAATTGTGCAATCACTCATTCCTATTCATATATTTTTTTGTTATATTTATTAAATATATTTTTGGCAGTATTAATTCGAGTCCAGACGCGTGAAGGCTGGAAATGATTTAAATCCTCGTCGTTCACATCCACTGAAACAGACCGAGTCAATACCCCATTCCTGCTGGACTTCAAACTTCCGCAAATGAAAATATAGCTTCTCTCGCCGGTGACTGCTCTCCCGGACTTATTAGTTGGGAGTTTGTATTTTTTTGCCTGGTCATTTTTTTCTACTTTTACTATTTTTTTTTCCAAAAGTCGTTAATATCTGGAGTAAATGATACGATTGTAATTCAAAATTAAAGGGTCAATTCACTATTATTATTATTATTATTGTTATTATTATTATCATTATTATTATTATTGTTATTATTATTATTATTATTATTTCACGGCATTTCATAAGTTTGTATTAGTTAAAACACCAATAGGTGGGAAAATAAGTAAGAATATTCATTTCTTTCCTTTTCCTCCAATTGACGGTTCTGAATCTTACACATTAAGTAATTCAAAAAGGTCTTGGTGGATTTGGTTGTAACGTTTGAATTGCTTTGGAAGTGCGTAAAGGTCTATGTTTTTTGTTTTTTTTGTTTTTGTCCGTATTTAAATATTCAATGTATATATATATATAAATATATATACATATACACATGTGTTATTATACATACTAATTAATATGTATATATTACACACACACACACATATATATATAGTAAGCCAGAGCAAATGTTCCAAATTACTTTTGGGTACTCTCCTGTTTTTTCTCCTTATCTTCCATCTCCTTCCTTTCTAATACAAAACATAAATTCGGTACACCAGCTAAGTGCATAGTTTTTTTCAGACGACGACCTCACAACTTTGGCTTCAAAATACATAATATCCAGTGATTAATAGAAAATCAATG